CGGCCGTTTCGGTCCGACGGTACGTTCCACGGACCACGGTACCACCCTTCGCCTGCCCGTACTGCGCGCCCGCAACCTAGACCAGCAGGAGCTGGTGAAGCACTGTGTGGACAACCACCGCAGCGACCCCAGCCGCGTGGTGAGCCCCCACCCCGACCCCTGCTGGGGTGCAGGGAGTCATGCCCGCCGCAGGCCCTCGGGGCTCACCCTTGCCCGCTGCATTGCAGGTGTGCCCCGTCTGCTCGGCCATGCCCTGGGGCGACCCCAGCTACAAGAGTGCCAACTTCCTACAGCACCTGCTCCACCGGCACAAGTTCTCCTACGACACTTTCGTGGTGGGTGCCCCCCCGCCCTCCGCAGCGTCTGTGGCAGCCGCCTGCGGGGGGGTGCTGGCGGCAGTCAGGTCCATGTGGCCACTAGGGGCCCCGGGGCTCTGGGTCTGTTCACAGCAGGCCCACAGGGGACCCCTCTGTCCTGCGGTCCCTCAGCGCCAGGCCAGCGAGCTCACCTCACCTGGGGCCGTTCTCTGGGAGAGGCACCACCACAGGGGCCCCATCTCCCCAGCTGTGCATGGGGCCTCAGGACAGACACCCCTCTAGAGGGGATGCGTTCCCTCTGGGGCCTGGTAGAGAAGGTTCCACCAGACTCCTGTTGCCTCGAAGACCTCGGCTCTTCCTCTGTGCCCATGGCCTCTGGCCCACAGACCCGCCCCTGCTGTACGGCCTGGCCTGACTCCCACCCCAACCAGCCTCCGGGCCCGTAGGGTCAGCACCCCCCCATCTGTGCCTGGTCCTAATGACTGGAGGCCATGGGGAGCTCTGGCTTCTCGACTTGCCTCAAGACCCTGTTCCTGAGCCTCTCGTTCCATGTGTCCACCCTACACCGTCCACTCAGCCCTCAGTCACTGGGCATGGTGTCTGTGGGCAGCTCACTGCACAGACCTCGGCGGAAGCCAGACACCGTCCCCACAGAGAGGCTGCCTGGTGGCGCCGGGACCCCGTGACCATGCAGGGCTGGAGGGGGGCCGGGGACCTGTATGTGGCAGTGTTGGTCTGTTGGAGGTGACGGGACAGGGAGGAAGCCCTGAGAGGCCACTAGCACAGCCTGGCTCCTTGCCTTCCAGGACTATAGCATCGATGAGGAAGCTGCCTTCCAGGCTGCCCTGGCCCTGTCCCTCTCCGAGAACTGAGGGCACAGCCCTGGACGAGCCCTCCTGCTGGAGGGACAGGGAAGGAGCCTCGAGGGCCGGTGGAGCCTCACTGCGGCAGGAAGGGAGGCCGCCGTCCGGCTGCCAGGGCTCTGCTAAGCGTCGCTGGCTCTGCGGTGCTTTGAGCTGAGCAGGTGGCCTCGCGGGACCGGCCGCGGGACTGAGCACAGCCAGCTGTCTGCGTCTCAAAGCCATGCCGTCCTCTGCTGCCGGGAGGACTGTTGGGGCCTTGCCGCCGAGCAGGGACGCGCGGAGGGGCACCCGGCCCAGCCCTGGCCCGCTGCCCCCCGCACTCGGTACTGGCCTCTGCGGTCCCTCGAGGTCCTGGCACTTTTCTACATCATCCAGCGCGATGACCTTCTCACATTTTTAGAACAAAGATAAAGCAGTCACTCTTCATGCTGCAATCTCCGTGTTTGACTGGGAACAATAGTATTTTTATGGGACGTTTACAAAATTATATTTTTTAAAAAACAATCAGAAGTGAACAATCGCAGGAATGAGCAGGGTCTCGCTGTGTGCAGGGCCGAGGCGGCCACGAGCCTCAGTCACTGCGACATCTCCCTGTGGTAACAACCAGAAGAAAGCCCAGTGTCCAGCCACTCGGGGTGGAGCTGGTCTGCTCCTGGCCTCGGCCCCGCTGTCACTGTCCCAAAGCTGACCATGTGTCCCCCTCCCTCGGCAGGCCCGCCTCCGTGGTGGCGGGGCGCAGCGGCCTGGGCAGCGGCGGGTCGGGCCAGAAAACGCTCGTCAGTGCTCCCGTTTCGTTCATGGCATAAGTTATTTCTGTCTTTTAAAAAAATTTAAATAAAACATTTCAAAGCATCTCTTGTGTCCTGGACCCATGCGTTTCTTCAGCCAGCATTCAGAGCAGAGGGCTGGAGTCGGGTCACCGGACCGTCCTGCTCAAGGCCCACGGGTGTGCATCCATCCCTGGCGCCCCTGCCCAGGAGGAGCTGAGCCGCCTCCCCCAGGCCCTCTCACCCGCCCATCCGCCCCTCCCTGTGACAAGCTCAGGCCCCGGTTTGCTGGACAGCGGCTCTCACCTCCTTCCTTGTCTGGAGACGGGGTCCGCCTGAGGCCGGCAGGCAGGGTACCCTCCCATGCCGCCCGTTGTCCAGGACCTGTCCCTTCCCCTGGAGCCAGCAGCATGTAGGTCTGGGACACGCAGTGGCTGTGGTTCTGGGCTGTCACTCAGGCCACATCCCACCCCCACTCCCGTTCCCACTGGGACAGCCCCACCTGCAGGGGTTCAACCTGGGCCGTGAGCCCTCAGAGCGGGGCTGCCAGCCACGCCTGTCCACCCCGAGGGCCGCCTGCCGCCTGCCCACCACCTTGGGAAAGGACAGCACTGTTGCCACACGCCCTCGTGGCCCTTGCTGCCCTGGAGGAGGCTCCAGGGCTGTCTGGGCAGGTCCTGACCTCGCCAGTGCCCTCGGGGAGGTGATGCTCCAGCGACTGTCCTCACCCTGTGGGGCCCTGGCAGCCATCACACCACCACAGCGGGGCCCCAGGAGGGAGTAGGAGGAGCCAGGTGCACCTTTTAAGTTGTCTGACACAGGAACAGGCTGTGGCAAGTCCCTGCCTCTGCCCGAGGATGCCTGCCAAGCTCGGCCCCTCCAGGCCCCTCGGTGTGGCCACAGAGGCCAGAGCCACAGGCAGCGTCCAAGCATGTTCTCCATCTCGTCCCTTCCACCCTGGCACACGGGCACATGCCACTCGGCGTCCAGGGGTCCAGGACAGATGGCCCAGCTGGCGGCCATCAGAGTGAACCCGGTGCAGGGGTTGTCCACAAGGGAGCTGGGTCTGGGCAGACCCCACCATGTCAGGTGGGGATGCCTCTGGCTGAACCAGCAGGAAGCTGCCTTCAGTTTGGATGAAACTGCAGCTGGAGCCCAAGGTTGAACCCCTGTGGGTGGGGCTGTCCCAGTGGGAACGGGAGGCTGGGACCACTGCTGGTCGGCGTTCCCCACTCCACAGCCCAGGTCACGGGCCACTAGCTCCAGGCTGGCGTTCCTGGAGCCAAGGTCTCCCTCTCACCGGACATGTGCGAGGACAGACCATCCTCCACAGCACATCTTCGCAGCACAAAGCCAGAAGGCCCTCACACCCACAGGGCCCAGGCCCCGACACCTGGGCGGCCCTGAGTGAGGGCCATACGCCCTCTCCTCCCAAGTCACACAGCAGCAGGGGGAGTCCGCACACAGCGTGCTGCCCAGAAGGCGCCTCTGCGTCCCCGGGGACCTGTGACCTTCACCGTTGGGAAGAGGACAGGTGAGCAGCTCTCCTGGAGGCAGGATGCCTGGAGCAAAGAGCGCCTCCCTGAGGCCGACCAGCTCCCTCCACTAGCCCCAGGACTCCCGAGAATGGGCCACAATTGTCAATCTGGGTCTTGCAGAGCCTCTGACCCAAGCTCTTGGGGCCCCTCTTTCAGGCTCACGCGCCCTGAGGGGGTGGACCGAAGTCCCGGCTCCTGTTTCACAGGTGAAGAAAGAGGTTCTGAAGCCTGCTGACGTGGCCCACGGCCCACTCACGCTTCCTACTCGCTGACACAGCTGGGGTCAGGGCCCTGGGCACCCCTCCCACTGTGCAGACACCGGGCCTGGCACCTCCTTCCATGAGACACCAGGGTGCCCCCAGCCCTGCCCGCTCAGGGGAAGGAGCCTTCATTCACTCACCTCGAGGCACCGGGAGCTGACAAGCCCGAAGGAGAAGAGGAAGCCCGCAGGGCGGGATGGGCTTCGCGGGGTGAAAAGAAAGACTGCGTCCAGCCTCCCCCACCCCAAGCGTGAGGCAAAGGGCCAGCGACTGGGGTGGGAAGGAGGCCCTCACGGCTAAGGTGCGGGCAGCGGGGCGCTGAGGCTAGGCTTCTCCTGAGCGAAGGGCAGAGGAGGCAGGAGCCTGGAGACCCACGTGGACACACATCTCTCGGGTGGCGTCTGCCCCCTGGGACCTCGAGAGGCACTGGGGCGGGGGCGAGCACAGGAGCAGGCGGCTGGAGAGCAATCAGCACCCACGCGGGGTTTTGCTAGAAACTCTTAGCACGTTTGGTGTGTGGATTTAAAGGGCTGTGGTCAGTCTTGAACTGACAGCCTCACCCCAAATCACACCCTCTCCTCAGGGCATCCTGCACCCAGCGACAACTGACACGAGGGAGGAAAGCCGTGGACCCTCACCGCAACCCAGGACGACTCTGAAGGTCTGCCCCGGCCCCTGCAGCCTCGGGGGCCTTGGCCGGCAGGGAGAAGCACGGACCTGACCCCCCGAGGAGCCCAAGCTCCAGGGAGGGCAGGCGGCGACGTGGGACCGTCAGGTATCCCACGGTGACAGGGCAGCCAGCCTTGCGGCCATGGTCCTGCGGTCTCTCCAGCCACCTGCTGGGAACGAGGGAGGGCCCGGCTCCACGTGAGGCCGGGTAAGAGGCTTGGAGAGGGCGCCACGGGGTTCGGAGCACATCCTCTCCTCCAGGCCCTGGGCTCACCCGCTGAAGCCTCACTTCTGTGTCACTCAGGAATAGCTCCTGTGACCTCACACACACAGACGTGTGTGGACACAGACGTGTGTGTCCACACCAGGGTGCAGACCTGCACACACGCTGACGCACATGCACACACAGTGTGTCCCTCCTCGGCCCCCAGGTCACCTTCCGCAGCTCAGCGTCTGGGACTCTGCTGTGCGTCACGGCTGCAGGTGAAGTGCCAGTGTCAGAGGCCCCACATCGCACAGGGTGTGCCCACTGAATCCCAGTTTGAGAACAAGTGTTGCCTCTAACAACCGGGCCCCCAAGGGGACCAGGCAGCTGTGAGCAGTAATGAACCCCCTTCTGGGAGCGACCAAGCACACACTGGCCACCAGTCTGGCCACATGCTGGGGGCTGCAGCACTGGGTCCGAGCTTCCAGAAGTCCATGACCTTGGACAGCCACGGGGATGCCCAGGTCAGGCTGTCCAGCCACGCTCACCCTCCCTCGGCGACCACTCCACACCCTGACACGGGGGCCATGGTAACTGGTGCCGGAGCCCCGGGACAGCTGAGCCCCACTGGCAAGGCGTGGCACTAAGCGCTGTTCCAAGAGTCCCAGGTCAGGCCCACCCGGGGTCTTGTTCTCTCACCTGCTCGTCTGCACCTGAGACACCCCAGGGAAGGGTGTGCCTGGGGCCGTGCTGTGGGGGGGATCCCCATGTCCTCCACTGGTCCTGCTCTGGTCTGGCCTGGACACAGCCCTGTGAGGCACATCCAACAGTGAGCCTGTGAGACCACAGGAGGGCAGTTCTGAGAAGTCGGCAGGGACCTCAGACTTCCCTCCGGTGGCTGCCTGAGGCAGCCCTCCGCAAGGAGCGCTCCACCCCAAAGGTGCCTCAAGGCCCCTGGAGGCCACGGGGGTGCTTCCAGGGTGACAGAGCAGGCTCTCCTCAGCAGTGCTCGGGCACCCCGCTACACCATGGGTGTCTCTCTGGGGATTAAGGAGGGCACCTTGGCCGGAGGCCCGGCCAGCTATCTGCAAGCGTTATCTACATCTCGGGGGGAGAAGGGAGAGAGGGTATAAATGGAAAGTTTGTGAGGCCACGGAACAGGTGAACAAGCAGAAGCCAGCCACATGGCCTCTGACATCCACACGCATGGCAGCGTGGTGCCAGGCCTCGCCCACGAAAGGGACACGTGCCTTCTCGTCTGTGTACCGCCTGTCTGTCCCTCCACGCGCCCTGACCAAGCGGCAGCAGCCGATGCCTCGTGTGAGGCTGGAAGTGCCGGCCCGGCTCCCACTCCCACCACTTCCCAACTTCTCCAAGCCTGTTTCTCTTTGGCAAAACCAAGGGAACGTAAGACACTGCGACACAGGCCCCCCTCCATCTCTCCACAGCTCTTCTGCCCCCAGGCCCACGGTGGCATAAGGGCACCAGGCTTCCACGTGGCGTCTGGGCCGCGAAAGGCAGGTCTGCTGCACAGCCATGGGCGCGTCTGGCGGCTCTCGGGGGTGGCACTGCGTCCCCTGGCCCGGAGGCTGACCTCACAAAATGGCCACATCAGAGGGAACAGACCCCCAGGCTGGGCTCAGCCTTTACGGCACTGAGGACTCCAAGGAACATCGAAAGAGGGACAAGGCTGCTCCAGGTCACAGACCAGGCTGCTGCAGCCAGTACACACGCTGCCCTCTGTGACTCAAGTGTCTGAACCCCTCCAAATTCCAGAATTCCAGGCCGTGCCCTTTCTCCTGCCAAACGAGCTTTCTGGAGACCTGGGGCCAACTCCCAAAGCGCCTTCTCCTCCTGGCCTTCATCCCACCAGGAGAGGCCACTCTCCTCCAGGCCGGGGGACCGCCCCCGGCCCCCCCGCATCCAGGGCCACTCTGGCTCGTCAACTGGGTCAGCTCTGGAGTTCAGGGCTTGTGCTCAGCAATCCTACCTTTGCGGGTCTGGGCTGGAGCAGGGTTCTCC